CTGTCATTTCTTACGTCAATACATAATATACGTGTCATCCCAGAGTTTTTTAAAAAAATATAGTAATAACAATAATAATAAAAAGAGATCATAACTACAAGATATGTCAAAGCAGTCCACTAACCCATCGAACTCTGTGGAGGAGCTTTGTCCGCCACTTCCTTCCTATAACCTGAAAAATGTTAAATATATGGGGTGAGCAAATTGCTCAGTAGATGGTGCCTAAGACACTTCTTGTAACCCCATGAATCCAAATAAGGAATAGGAAAAAGAACCGGGATCAATATAACAACAACATCAACAACAAGAATCCAAGTCGTAACAAACCATGCCATGCTATGGAATGCAATGTCATGTGTATCACTCCCCATTCCGAAACATTTCCGTTTCAACTTCCAAACCGTTAGTGTAATATGACCCAAGGCACCTCCAAGGCGTCACGAGAGGAGGATTGACCAACCATCCACGACCACAAGGCACCTCCAAGGCATCATATTCGGCCTAGTTAGCTCAACCATACTCTCCTCTAGACTACACTAACACCACGGACCACTAGGCATCTCCTAGGCGTCCGGTTTTCGCAAACACTTTTAGAAAAACTTTTTCCCAAAAATAATTCCATTTGTTTTTAAAACAAACTTTTCCCTTTACTTTCCCAATGACAATGCATGAATTATGCAATTCCTTCAATGCTATGACAACATAGAATTTCATACATATCATCCGCATCATTTAAGCATGTTTTAAAACATGAATTTTCACACAATACCGCATTCTCATATTTTCAAATCATGACATCTTACATACTTTTAATTCACAAATCCAACAATTAAATTCTACACATTCCATCAACGTCATATTCACATTTTGAGAAGAAATTCTAAATTTATTTTTACAACTAATAATTCCAATTTTACATTTATTTTTACAACTAATAATCCCAATTTTTCATTTATCTACACCAATTAACATCCTTCCATTTAATAATTTCTAGTAAGTTACAAACACCATAGGCATGAGAAATTCACGCGTAAACATGCTTTCCACATAGTAAGTTTTAAACAATTTATCAAGCACACAAGCATATAAAACCAACATTTAAGCATGTTTTTCACATAAATTTACTTATACACATAATCATGAATTCCATATACAAAACCAAATCATTTTAGAGGCATTCATCTCAAATTAAGCATGCTTAGCTATAATTAACAAAGAATAATTCACAAGGGATCAAGAATCTCATGGATTAGGAACCCCTACCTCAAATTATAGAAAACCCCTCACAACGGGTTTAAAAACTCGAAATCCTAGGGGAGGCCAAAACTGAAATTGCTTGTATTCACACGTAGATCTAGTCGTGCTCTCCGTTTTGCCGCAAACGGCATCCAAAAATTCCCATAAATGAGGGAGTAATCAAATTTTGAAGCCTTGAAGCAAGGTGAAAATAAAATGAAATAGAAAAGAAGAAAGGAAGGTGGTGCCGGGAAGAGGAAATGAGGAAGAGAGAATGAGAGGCTAAGTGGCCTCTTGGCCACACAAATCATATTAGTGGTGGGTCCCACCACTAAAATCACCTTTTGACTTTTCTTTTTAATTTTACCACGTACACCTACATATATAAATATGACTTACAACCATTACAATGTCTTCTTCATGAAATTCATCTCAGTCTTGTACAAGAAAGAAAAGGAACAAATAAAGTACAATCTTTTAGGAAAAATTATCAAATCTTATATGGTTTTGGCATGCAACTGTAGTATATCTTCCATTGCAGCTCAACCTTAAGATCCATTTGCTAGAGAGATAAAGAAAGGGAGACATAGAGAGATATGTGGCTGGAGAACATTTGCGATGGGTTGCTGGCAAAGTACGTGGTGGAGCTTGCAAAAGTTTGTCGCGGTGGAGTTAGATAATGTTTGGGTCGACCAACACGACAACAGTATAGCGATACTAGGTCCCTACTTCCCAAAGGAAGGTCAGCGGATCGAGCCTAAATGGAGGTATGTGTGTGTGGGACCGTGGGTACCAACTAAGAAAAAAATATTTGGGATCGACAGATTGTAGCCTTCTAGGTTTATTCTTCTCAATTATCCTTATCCTTTACAATCCAATGGCTGATATGCAATCATATGGGATGATAGGCTATTGGACTAATGAACTCTTTGGGCCTTAGTTTTTTTTTTTTTTTCCTCTTTGGGTCTTAGTTGAGCCTAACTTATATCATCTGTAGTAAATATTTTAAGTGTTAAATTTGAAATGTAAATAGACTTTAAGCTAAACAAGCCTGTTCATGAGCCTAACGAGTTGAGCTCACCATTGTTCAGGCTCGGCTCGTTTAGTAAACAAGCCTGAAGAATGAGCTCGATTCTCATTTGTTAAACGATCTAACCCGAACCGAACTTTTAACAAGCCGAGTCTGAGCTATTCGTGAACAGTTCCGTTCATTTGCAACCTTGGATATAACATTAGTAGTATAGCTTTACTATAGACTAATGAGCTGAAGAGTAGTGAAAGGATATTTTTGAGTAATCTTGTATTGGTAGCCCTTTTTTTTCTTCTCTCTCTCTCTCTCTCTCTCTTCAATTGGCAAATCCCATGCACATATCTACTTTTTTTTTTCATTCGAACATGAACCTCAACTTTGAATTTGCAAGAAAGAAATGGCACCACTTGAAACCAGTATTGGTTACAACATTTCTAGTTAATTTTCAGAGTCGCCTTGAGGAATTTTTGAACTGACTAAGATGAGCATTGCATCATATAAATAACTAAAGACGTGTAACTGCACAACCAGACTTTGCTTTGGAAATAACTTCCCTTAATATTAGTCTTCACATCAAAGTGGTGATCATTTTTGAATTTTCATTTATGGGAATAAAGGATAAAGGAAAACAAAAACACCCTTTGATTAAAGGAAGAGGAGAAATTTTAAATGATTTTTCAATGTTTGATTTACTTATAGAGGGAATAAAAGGATGATTTTATTTATATTTTTATTTTTTTTTATTTTTTTTAGACACAAAATAGGATGATTGATATAGGGGTCCAAAAAAGGGGCTTGGACACTCCACTAAGTCTAAATATCAAAGAAAATGGAATATTAGTAACCATTTTTTATTTATTTATTTTTTTATTTTTAAAGTGACAATATTGTTTTTGAAAATTAAATAAATAAACAAATTAACAAATGGTGCGTGCCACCCTGTGAGAGTGTTAACTTGGTGGTATACCAATGGGTATGTAGTTCAATGGTATACCCTTTCCCTCCTCAAAAGAGGAGAAGAGGAGTTCAAACTTAGTGTAGTCTAAAAATATGTGTGAGTGTTTTTCTTGTCATTAAAAAAAAAAAAAAAAAAAAAATTGGAATGATTCCATACGAAAAGGATAAATATTTTTTTTTTGCTTAGTTGGTAAGCACGCGCATGCCTCCACTAAGAATCAAACCCCTAAGCTCCTTTTGGAAAATAGAGGTCTGATACCGCTAAGACATTGACGTAAGGATAGATATTTTTTAGGATAAAGTGAAAAAAAAAAAAAAAACCCCTTGAACTATTACCCTTTTGTAAATAACCCCCCAGAACTACAAATTGCTCCATGAATTATTGATTTATTACAACTAAGGACAAACTCATTACAAATGACTATTTTACCATTTCTCATTAAATTGTCATTTCTTATTAAATTATTTTTATTATTTTTTCTCTTGTCTAAATATTAATTATACCATTTACTTTAATTTTATTATTAGTATCAATTATCATAAAAATAAAGAAAAATAGATTTGTAACTACCATTTTTTTAAATATTAATTTATTTTTAAAATTTTATTATTTATAATAAAACAAACTATACTCAATTTAAACTTTTTTACTATAAAAAATACCTTCTTTCCACAATATATGCACGAAAAACTAGTAAATTATTTAAATGAAAAATACCTCCTTTTTTATGCAATATATTCATGAAAAATTAAGAAATTATTTAAATTGTTTTAAAATTTTCTACTTACGATTTTTATTTAAACATTTGATTTAAAAAATTAAAGGTAAATTTATGCAAATTTAATAGAGAATATGTCATCAAATTAATATGATTTTTTCATAATTTATTTCAATAAAAAAATAAATTAAGTGTAATATAATAAATTATTTAAATGAAAAATACCTCCTTTTTTATGCAATATATTCATGAAAAATTAAGAAATTATTTAAATTGTTTTAAAATTTTCTACTTACGAGTTTTATTTAAACATTTGATTTAAAAAATTAAAGGTAAATTTATGCAAATTTAATAGAGAATATGTCATCAAATTAATATGATTTTTTCATAATTTATTTCAATAAAAAAAAAAAAATAAGTGTAATATAATAAGAGAGGTCATTATGGTCATTTAATAAAAAAATAGGATAGGTATTGGGCATTTTGAAACAAAATGTGATAGTTTAGGGGTTTTATGCACAAAATATATTTTAAAAGAGTTATTTGCAAATTCGAACATAGTTCAAGAAGGGGGAGTTTTGCATTTTACCAATATTTTTTATATAAATAAATAAAAATACTTGACATGGTTCCGTGTTAAAATAAATATGATTGATCTGCTAAATAAAGAGCAAACTCTTGGTGTTGGGTAAAGGGGGTTCTTCCGCAAATAATTAATTAGGATTTTGGTTCAGATAGTATCGGTTTTTTTCATATTAAAATTTAACAAGACCTGGATGTACAAAAGTGGTCCCATGGTCTAGTGGTTAGGACATTGGACTCTGAATCCAGTAACCCGAGTTCAAATCTCGGTGGGACCTTTTTTCGGTAGCATTTTTTTATTTTTTATATATATATATATATACTTGAATACACAACGAGCAAAGCTGGGCTCACATGTTACCTGAAACGACACACAGCATTTAACTTGTTGAGGTCTCGCCATAGTTATCAAGGACAACACATTCATATCAATTTTAAGCAATTAAAAATAATTCATTAATTGAAAAAAAAAAAAATAGAAGAAAGGAAAACAATATGATCATCTTTCTTGTGTTTTTCCCCCATAAATCGAAAGAAGCTGAACTCATTACAATTTACATTCCAAAAATGGACATGAAACAAAGACCAGTTACACATAAAAATTTGTAACTTGTTCCAACAATAAACAAGCCCTCATACAAATAAGAAAGGACCAAAAAACATGGCACCCCCCAACCCTCTTCTCCCCACAAGGTCTCTCTCTCTCTCTCACATTACCATAAACAATCAGAATTCGTTGTGCTGAGAAACAATGATCTTCAAAATTCTGTATAGATTTTCCTTCACTTTGCACCTTTTTAAGACCCCAAATATAAGAACAAAATGTCTTACAACCTCAAAACCCCCAAAAATGGAGTACCAGGGTACCAACAAAGCAAGGCAATCAAATAGGGAGCCTGCTGCACTTATTGACAAAGAATCAAGAACTGTCATACATGTTTACTAGTCCGAATTCGGTCTCTCTACTACATCTTGCACATCGGATGGTTCGGGGAACATCTCCTTCGACTGTCGTCTCGTTGTTGAGGATGAATGATCACCACCACCTCCACCATTTTGACCACTTTCCTGAGAACCCGTGGTTCTCGACTGTTTCAAGCTACTACCTCCTTCCATCACGTTGGTGGGGGCAGCTGGAATGGCCACCACATCTGATGAGCTATGACGCCAGCTACCAAATAAAGCAGCATTCCAAGATCCTCTGGAGGAAGTAGTTCTAAGCCTGGCGGAGCTAGCATGTTCTTCTCTTACTACCTTCAAAGGATTTTCCAAAGCTTTAAGGATATATCTCATAAGGGGCCTCCTTGAAGGCTTGGGATTGAGGCAAGACCTGGCAACAATTGCCATGGCCCATACTTCCTCTAACAAATCGTCATCTATGATTAGAGACCGGTCCAAAATATTCATAACAAGTTCCTTGTCATATATGCTGATGTAAGGTAAAATCCCTTCTAACATATCCTTCATGGCAGCATCACTGGATGCGCTGATGCCCAGCCTGCCTGTTACCAGCTCGAGCAACACCTTTCCAAAGCAGTAAACATCATAAGCACAAGTTGCTGTAGGTGAACCTGGTCATGTCGGAAGAAAAAAAGATAAGTTTTCTATTCAATATTCTTAGTATATTTTAGCACTTTCCACCATGAACTTCTAGGCCTATCCTGAATTAATCAAGCATATAATCATCTCAAATAATTCACAATCATTAACACAATTAAATAGGCCACCACGCGAGGTTTGAGCAACATGAATAACACAAGTGCAGAAGCCAAAGTCCAAAAATTTTATTACTCCATAATTCAAGGGTTTTTTTTTTTTCTTCCCCTGAATCATAATTCAAGGTTCTGATCCATTTATTCTAACGTATCTCCAATTGCACGTCACAAATATAAGAAAAAAAACAGTATAGGCATAGCTACAAGCATAGTTAACTACGAAAACTATCATAAGCATAACAGCTAAAACTTGAGATAATCAAAGTGTTAACACTCATATTTCATTAGCTCTATTCAAATAATGACGACTGTTCAAACATCTGTGAGCAACTCAATTGTTAGGTTGCAGGCAAATGATGCATAAGTAGGAATAGGAAGAAAAAACTAAAAAAGTAAAACAAAAAGAAAAAAAGAAAGAGTAAAATAACACCACAAATACAGGTTAAAAAAATACTACAAATTTTATGGTACTTTGCCTCAAGTCTACAATCTTTTTATCTACAAAATATTCTTCACGAAGTTTGCTCTAGTCCAAAAACTTTATCAATAAATAAGTTGGTGAAGAAAAAATAAATTGACAACCCGACTTGATTCAATATATAATGTTTTTAATAAAGGAGGCGATATTCGTATTTCCCTTTTCTACAATTGCACTCACTTTTCTTTTTCCTTTAAAGCAAATGACAAGAAGGTCCCTAAAAGCTCATTAATACATCATCCCTTATTTTATAATACCATAACTAACCTTTTCACTATGAACCTTTTTTTTTTTTTTTACCTTCTTTACTTTCGCTAGTATTTTTTTTCCCTCGACAAAAAGAGAATTTATTCAACTGAAATTATTAGGATGATGGATCAACGTTAAATTCAGTTGCAACTATTCAAAGCAAAAGAAGAGAAAAAGGCAAGTATTATTGGAGACAAAAGATGGTGAGATAGCGCGTGTGAGACTCTAATAAGAGAGGAGAAGCAAAAAGGAGAGCGACGTTGACATGCCGCTTCAATGCAATGGCAATGGCACCAGCATTTCTCTCTTGGGCACTTCTATGCCATCCAAACTTCATATGCAAACCAACAACGTTCACTTCACCCTCTCTCTCTTCGCTTCTATACCCTTCATCTATCACTCTCCGCCTACAAATCCTTGTACGCATCAAATTAGTCTTGGAAAGCTTGATCGGAGACTAGGAGCTGTTTCCAACTATTTATTAATTGTAACTTCCTTTTCTACGTCATTTTGGTACCTATTATAGTTCTTTCTTCTTTTACAACATCCAAATTGAATGAAGATAGAAAATCTTTCACCATGTAGATTTGATGTATAATAGAATACTGCTTCTAGTATCATTTCAGTATACAGATAAATAAACATGTTCTATTAATTTTCCAGTCTTCTTTGAATCCTGGATCCTGGCTTATATCTAGTAGGAATCAATGTTGTTAAAGGTGCGCCTAGGCTCCAGGCTCATACAAGCGCAAGACTAGTGCCTGTTGTGTGCCTAGGTGCGCCTTTGACAACATTTGCGCCTTTAATATGGAATTTGAATTCTTTAATAGTAATTTAATTTTTCCATTGTGTGCCTCACTTCACTTAGGCGCGCTCCTCGCCTTGCGCCTAGGCTCCAGAGAACCTCTAGCGCCTTGGGCATTTGATAACACTAGTAGCAATATCAATTGGGACGTTACTTGGAAAGAGAGAGGGAGACAAAAAGATCTTTCCATAACATAACTGAAAGGGTACTTGTGGTATTTGAGAAAAAAGAATTATTTATTTATAAATTTAGGGTTAGAAGTGTCATTTCCTTTATGATTGGAGTGCAATGGTAGAAAAGGGGAGTGCAAATATCTCCTCCCTTTAATAATACTGTTTTACCTCCGTTAGTAAATTAAGAAAATCTGACAAACGTATAAGCTAGCCAAAGGCCGAGTTAATAGTTTGCTAACTTCCAAGTTTAACTGCAGAAATGTTATTATATTTACCATTTTCCTTAATGGATATTTAGATAACAAGAATCACTTCTTTTTTTGGATTGCAACCCTACCAAAGAGGATTTTTATCCTAAAAATTGTGCACAACCCCTAAGAGAGAAATGAATCACGAAAGTGAACATTTGTCAAGGGCTTAATCAAATTGTTCCGATACTCCAACCAGTCGGAAGTTCATACTTTAAGCTCTCTAATAGGGAATGTAAACACTCTTTTTCATCTCACTCACTCGGCAAACACTTTTAGGAATTTTTCAAACAAAAATTAGGAATCTATCAAATTTATGGGAGACTGAGGATGGGTTGGTCATAAATAAATAAAAAAACATGATTCGGAAGATAAATATTATAAATTATAATTAAAACATATCATTATTATTAATTATCACTTTGGCCTTGAAAAATAATAATATTAAAGAAAAAGAATCAATTTTTTGAAGATGATCCTCGGCATATATCTTCTGTCCTATCCAGCCCCACAACAGCCATGCCACTTTTCATGTGAAGGCAAAGCTTGCACAGTAAATAGTAAAAACATCATAAGATCCAACTTCTTGAGTCCTTCCTTACAATAGCAGTGTATTTCTTGGTCATTTTTGAAGAGGTGGTTCTTTGCTCTAACAGTGACAAGGTCGACATTTATAGAATTTATATTGCCCTATAAGCAACTTAATTAATAAATGTGACAGGAGTTTCTCCCCTGCTACACTACCCACTATTTCAAAGGATAATCCCATCTTTTTACCAATAATATTAGAATCATTAAAGAGGTAGCAAGAAATTTCAGTAAATAAATTAGGATGCACTGTAGAGTCATTCAATGAGTCCAGTAATGATCACATAATACTGGATTTTATAAACAAAGGACTGCTTCTCTCGTGAAGGAATACTTATATTGAGTTTTGCGCTAATTACTATTCAAGTTTAATGCTTAAATGACATCAAGGGCTAAATTGCTGTACAAAGAATGATAGGATATATGAGGTCCAATAAGTGAACCTTAAAAACAAAATTTCATCGCTAAAGCTCGAATAGCTCAATATACAAGCATTAGAGAAACAAAAATCAATGTGGAATTTAAAAAATAACTGAATTGGACATACCAGAAGCGCCTTGTTCAGATGTCCTGCAAATAACCCAGAGGAAAATTTTATTACAGTCTCAAATGCGTAATAGAAATACACAATAAAGAAGTGACTTCAAGAAATGGTTCTATTCCTGTTTTTTTCTAAAAAAACAGTTTATAGGATTTGAATTATTAAATACGAGATATAGAAAGATGTTCACAAAAGCAACAGGCATATATAATTCAGTATACTGGTTATTGCGTCAGCTTTGAGAATATCAAACCCATGTCTGACCAAGCTTCAATGTTCAGTTCCATTAACATGTATGCATAACCTAAAATCATTGCCTCAAATTGATACTGTGAAATCCACTAAATAGATAAATGCATCTCAATTGGTAAATAACCCAGCCCCATCCTGAATTTAGTTCATATCTACCATAAGTTCATACCAGAGAAAGCAAATAAAGACCGACTCTAAATCTGGTATTGCTTACATTAAATGCACCATTGGCGCTGAAAAAAATGTTCGGAGCCTAATATCAAGCCATCTTTTTTTTTTTTTTTCCCTAGTTGGGACTCACACACACTGCCTCCACTGAGGTTCGAACCCCTGACCTCCCTTTGGGAAGTAGGAGCCTTGTACCGCTAGGCCACAGGCCTGTTGGTTCAAGCCATCTTTTTCTTTGCACAGAAAATCTAAGTACGTAGAAGAAGTGGAAAGCATGATTTTAAAGTGACATTTGTGACACCGAAATAGGGATGGCAACGGGGCGGGGTGGGGCGGGGATTCCATTCCTCATCCCCATTCCCAATGCATTTTTCATTCCCCATCCCCGTCCCCATCCCTGCTTAAAATTTTGCCAGAATCCCCATACCTGCCACCACCCCCGTCACCTTATCCCCATCCCCGCCCCGCCCCGGCCCCGGCCTCATAATTTTTTTTTATTAAAAAAAAACATATTTTTTCTTATTTTTATATATATAATAAATTTAATTTAGTAATAAATTATTATATGTAAGGGTATATTAGTAACTTCACACTTAATCGGGGCGGGGCAGAGCGGGTTTACCCCATCCCCGCCCCCGACCCCGGCCCCGGCGGGGATTCATACATTGGCCCCATCCCCATCCCCATTTAGCTAAAAGGATCTACATCCCCGCTATAAACGGGGCGGGGCGGGGCGGGGCCCCGGCGGGAATGGGGAATTTGCCATCCCTACACCGAAATCACAATTCAGAAGCACACTATTGGCATCTCCCAATAACCAGAACTAATCTACCCTTTGTATGAGTCACATATTCCCCAAGCTCATAGTTTCTAAAGTAATAAAACTAGTTTTTTGCCTTCTACTGATTTTCTCAACAATTCCCACTTCACTTCATCCGACCATATTCAAAACTATTGATGTGCATCCTCTGCACTCTACTCGGCAACGATGACCAGCCTTCTTTCACTTTAGAAGACTCACATTTTGGTGTATATTGTATAGAAGCACAGAGAATTTAGCTCTCAGTGAATAAATTCAATTCTTTCTCTACTCGAAAACACAAGGCAAGCTCAGTTTCTGTGGATGGACACGTCAAACGAAAACTCATGTGTTTTCTGAAAAAATTCAGGTAGCTCTCTTTATGCACTTAAGTAATCATCTTCCTGCTTCGTTCTAAGTTTCTGATGCTATAACCACTTCAACTCACCGGATTAACTAAAAGTTTATTCTCACATACTAACATGTACAAATAAATATATTCAATTATTTTTAGATTATTGAACATATCAAGACTGCACTCCCAAACTCCTAATCCATCAATTGAAGAAGTCCTGCCCACAATGGGTACTAAATTGTCATATAATTCAGAGTTGAAACTTGCAGAAAAATAAACAATATCTATAGAGCATGTAATTCAATATTTATATAAATGAACCTTTACCATCAAGCAATAATAACTTGATTTAATTAGGAAATAAATAACAATAACTTGATTTCTAAATTATTAATTTAAAAAAACAGAAATTAAAAGGATTTCCCAAAGTCTGAAAGGAAATTTTCTAACATGTACATAGATTGATAGGATACTCACTGTGGCAGCCGCAGGAACCTGGTAATCATGTTTTGATGAGTGTCCCCTTCTTGAGCACAGATCTCACTCAAGCTTCCTAGTCGCACTTCATACTTATCATCAAGAAGGATACTGCTTGCTTGAACATCTCTAGAATGACCAAAAGAAGTATGCATTACTACCACAAGATATAAATTTCTTTCTTTTTACCTTTTTGAAGCGAAGGGTTTAAAATTCACCATAAGACATCAAAAGAGGCACAACCAATTTACACAAGTAACACAAAATGTACATATGCAAGCTATACAGTCCTATAAAGAAACAAAACAATCCAAACCTACCCATCTCACAAACTAGTGAAGATTTCATCAAGTTGAAAAAGAACATTGTTAAAAGTCCAATAAGGAGAGGTCACGACAAACTTAATTCAGTAGAAATCCGGCATTGTAAATAAATTCTCTATGGCGTCATAATTCAATCAAATTTTATGCAAGGCAGCAATTGATTAAGTGTATCACGTATATCATGTCTTAACAATGAGCAAATGATTAGTAGATGCACATATATCTTATCTCAAGGTTACCTTTATAAACCTGTAGTCTACCCAAAAAACGATCTACTTTTAACTCGATCCCAATCAACACAGCAGCAAAAATGATCTACCAAAACATGTAGCCTAGTTACTGCCTATTTGGTTGGGTTGTAACTTCTAATGAAACACATTTTCATGTAGAGCTGTCATAGAAGTGTTACCTGTGGAAAATCAAATGGTTTTTGGGGATGCAGTATCTAAAGCACTTTTCTCAAATATATTCCTTAATATCAACAGACTCATTTCACAAATTTTGCATCTACTTGCAAACACAATTCAGAAAGCACTAAATATGAGTTTTGGCTAAAATCTCTACTAAGCTAAACTTTTACCACCAAAAGTGCAATTCTGTGCTACCAAATAAATTAAAAGTGAGATTTACGTATCCAATCGCAATGCCACAAATGCTATTAGGGGTGCAAAACTAGCCAGAGGGTAAGCAGATCAACCAAGCTTCGTCCAAAAGAATTGGGCTGACTGGCAAAGGCTAAAGGAAGGCCTAGACCAGCCTTACACCACAACCCTCCCCAAAGCCAAAGGACTAGGCATAAGCCTTCCCTGTTGATGCCCGTGGGCCCGACATGGGCCAAAGGGCGTTAGAATGACTCAATTTTAAGGCCTAAAATCTTTAAAACATATATAAATTGTTTTTCATTTTTTAGGTACAATAAAAGTAACTTTGTTACTTCTATAAGTATTTTTAAAGTAAGAAATCACAGTTTTTTTTTTTTTTTTTTTTAAATAATTACTGACAAGAAAGTATGAACTGTTGCTAAATATTTCATCCTTTATAAAAGTGTTTTTTGAGTTTTTATAAGTACTGCTAAAAATAACTTATACTTAGAGAAATTATGAAGTTAACATGTTAATTGATTTTAATTTAAAATCATAAACAATTTGAGTTTTTATAATGTAATTATTTTTAGCTTTACAAACAATTATATTAATCTCAAACATTAAAGAAGCCATTTAATTTTTTCCAAGCCTAGATCCAACCAAATTAAACCAAACTCAGGCCCCTAGGTTTTGCATTGTTGTTTCAGCCCAGCACTTTGACCAGTTGATCCCTGGGTTTTGCATTTTTTATTGAAGGGATATGGAAAAAAGTATAAATGAGTCCCAGAAGGGACCCTTGATCTTTAATTCTGACCAGAAGGAAAAGGAAAAAATCTAAATTAAAAGGCTACCATTGCTCAGTTTGATATTATCAACTAGGCTCCAGAAAGATAGTGACTGAAACATAATTGCAAACTCTTTCTATGGGGAAAAATAAAAACTGTTAATATAAATGTAATTTTTTTCATGTGAGAGGTTAATATTATTAAAATGAAAGAAGGCTAAAGCTTATTTACTGAGATATCCAACCTCAGAATAGATTAATTGAATTTCATCCCATCTATACAAATCAGACCGTTTAAAAATATCGGTACTATAGTAGATCCATCCACCCTCATAAATTCATGTTTAAAAGAAGAAAATCTTAGCAGCAGAGTCTAGTGCCACATATTTAGCTAAAACTGACACAACTGCTAGAGATGTTACAGTATTCTCATCCAGAAAATCAGCTTTCTATGTTGTTTAACTCAGTTCAGCTGGTATAATATCAAAATACGTGTTTCAGACATAACAATATAACCATGTGCTCTTTTTCCCGAAAGCAGAGGTGTTGAGTTGAATAGCATCTTTACAACAAACTCTTATCAAGGAACGCTAGCTGGAAAAATGATTTCAACAAATGAAAGACGTATTTCAAGTGTAATTAACTATGGAGCATTAATACGGACACAGAAATGGATGCAACTGGTGAAGGATATTCCAATAAGATAAATCATTGAAAAGTAAGACATGGATATGATGAGGATACAGAAAAAAGGAATTATATAGTTTGATTTTTTTGATTATATAGGAATTATATAACTTGACATAAATGTTGATAATTTGAGATTATTGCCTGATACCATGGCAAAAAAAATCAAGCTCCATGTCCATATGCATCTTAGAACTATATCCATATCCAATGCCAATTAGTGTCCAGACAGAGTGCTTGACAACTGTCAGCCCATGTATGAGGTCAAAAGTTACTTGAGCTGCATGTCCATTACATGCCTACGCACGTCTAAGGAGTGTTGCGTCAAGATGGAGTCCACCACGGTCATAGTTGAAAAGGGTACTTGCTACATAGGAAACTAAGAATTAAAATTGGATGCTGATGAGATATATTTTTTTTCCTAAATGATGCTGATAAGATATATTCTAAAGTAAGAAGTTCTGATTGTCTTACATTTAAGCAGTTTAATAAAGTGAGTGAGTCATAAAGTAATTTGCAATTATGACAAATAACAAAATAAATAATGCACTCTCATATTTGAAGATCTAAAAGTTAACATGAACAATCGATTTGTGCTGGAAGTAACACTGGTCATATAGATAATAGAACATCAGCAAGAAAGAAGAGGAAAGAAGCATAAGCAAATCCAGAATACCTGTGCACAAGAGGTGGAGTACATTCATGATGTAGATAAGACAAAGCCTCTGCAGCTCCTATCGCAATTTTCAGCCTCGTTATCCAATCTAATGACTGTAAACCTTCATCCTCCGAATTCGTTTTCCTGAATAAAGAACTTGACAAGTCACCATTTGTCATATATCTGTAAACCAAAAACTTCTCATTCTCGTTATCCAGGCAATGTCCCAGGAATGGGACCAATCTAACATGAGAAACCTTGCTGAAAAAATCCAACTCTAGCATGTAAGCTTCCTTCTTGAAAGAGCGCAAGTCAATTCTTTTGATGACTACTGGGATCCCACCTTCCAAGAAACCTCGGAAGAGATCACCAGAATGGCCCTGTTTGATAAGGTCTACATCATTGAAATCACCTGCAGCTTGGAGAATCTGCTGATATGAGAATGCTTCCCCTAGGCTCGAAAAGTTCAAAGGCACTCCGGGAACTTGTGGAGTTCCATCAGTAGGAACAGGCCCCACACCATTCCCTCTTTGATTTGCTACACCCCTTTTACGGGTGCATACAATCAAGATCGCCAGAATTGCAATAAGCCCAAGACCCCCCAAAACTGCTGCCAATATGATCCATCTTCTATTATTATTGTCTTTCGCAGGTTTAGGTGCAGAAGGTTGGGAGGCATTTGGGAATCCAAAGTTATCAAAAGTCAGACCCCTCTCAGAATAGAATGATGCACATTCTGCCACAGTCCTCTGTCTTGACACTTGTTGAAGGCAATTTCTACCAAGAAATGTGGTATTTCTACGAGCATAATTCGGAACCTTGCCTTGAAAATAATTGCCAGACAGATCAATACTACTGAACCCCCCAAGTATGGATGTAAGATTTCCATAAAACATATTCTGAGAAAGGTTAAATACTACTTTAGTGGCATTCGCATTCACACTAAAGTTGGGCAGAGTACCAGTGAAGTTATTGCCGGAGGCGTCAAGAAAACCCAACTCAGGCATTGACCACAATATGCCAGGAAGATCCCCAGTGAAATCATTGTGACTCAGATCAATAAACTGCAACTTGGTTAGAACAGGAAACAAGTTACTCGGCAAAGAACCCACAAGTGAATTGTTCCCAATTACCAAATTCTGCAAATTCCTTAACCCTCTCAACTCCGAGGGCACTGACCCGGACAAAGAATTGATGCTAAGATCAAGCTCAACCAAACTCGAAAGGTTACCGAGTAGTGCGGGTATGGCAGAAGAGAAACTATTACCAGAAAGATTCAAGTATTGAAGCTTGGACAAAGTCCCAATGTCTGGAGGAATTGTGGCAGACAAGTAATTCGCGGCCATGTCAAGCCGAGTGAGATTCCCCAGAGAGCCAAAAGAAGAAGGAAAGGGTCCGGAGAGTAAATTATGAGAGAGATCAAGAACTGCAAGACCGGACAATTGACCCAAACTAGAAGGAATTAACCCAGCAAGACGATTGTGTGATAAACGCAGTGTAGTGAGATTAGTTAAATTACCAAGACTAGAAGGAATAGTACCAGAGATTGAGCAAGACCAAAGATCGAGCACTTGGAGCGAAACAAGCCTCTGACCAAACCAGTCAGGAATTGAACCAGGAAGCGAGAACTGAGAAGCATTAAACGACGTCAAGAGAGTGAAATTGGCAAGGGCATCAACAGCAAATTGGGGGTTTTGCCTACCAATTCGAGTCCGCTTAAACCCAGAAATGTTGATCCCAACGACTCGACCATTCTGGCACTCAACACCTCTCCAGTTGGAACATGGGTCAGCCTTTATCGGCCACTCTCTGGTTCTCAACCCTAGCGACGATCTCAGTTGAATCAAAGCCAATCGCTCAGTTTGAGACCTCAATGGCACAGACTGTTCGAATGTAGAGTGAAACAGCAAGAAGATTATACACAAAAAAGCTACTGTGCTTCGACGATCCACCATGACTATTACAAACAACAATGCTTCAATCTTTGCATCTTCACATTCTCATCATCCTTCATGTACCGCGCGTTTGTGTGTGCAAACACGACTGCGATTGCGTATCCGAATTTCTTGTTCTTGACAAAGAAATGTGCATCTTCACACACTAAAAAGACAAAAAATCAACTATAACTCTCTTACCTTAACGATCACAAGCCCCTGATTCGATTTACTGTATCTTCGCTTGCTTCAGACAAAATCACACCCCATCACCTCCCCTTCTCTCTCTCTCTCTACCTACTCTCTCTCTCTCTCTACTTCTTTCAGTTGCTTCGGTTGACGGAAGAGAGAGAAAGTGAGGATACAATTAAAAATTAGTCAAAATTGGAGTTGTAGAGAGAGAAAGTGAATACTGCTCCTACTTTCTAGAGAGAGAAAGTGGTCAAGAATAGCTACTGTGTATCGCTCTCTAACACAGCTCCGAGAAGGAAAAAGAAAGCTAGAAAAAAAGGGCTTTTATACACACATATTTAAAGGCTTGACATTCGTGAGCTAAAAAAGGCTGGTCCGGTACAGACTCTGATATAATCGCCACTACTTTTGCCGGAGTTTGAAAAAGCGCTTTTAAAGCAGCTTTCAATGAGACGAGCCAAGGCTGAGCCCTATGGGTCTGGTCTGGTCTGGTCTGGACGAGTGGCTCTTGCTCACTGGGGTTCAGGTCTGACAGTGGTGGAACCAAGTCCGGTGGTGTTGACCTCCGAAGATCCCGCCCAATCCAGCTAAGCTCAAAACCACTTCATTAATTTACTATTTTTCTCTCTCTAGAATCTCTTTCTTTCTCTCTCTATAATATATATATATATATATATACATCTCAGTCTCTCAACCTTCATGGCCACGAGGGGAGGTGTATCATACTATTTGGCGATTCAAAAACAGTTTTAAGCGCTTTAAATATTCACTTTCTACTCATTGCATTCGGATTTTGAAAAAGTGAAATGACATTAATGGCCCTAGCTCATACACAGCAATCCTACATGTTGAGTAGGAGGAGGGGTAAATTTGGCATTTCCTTTCGTTCAACTTTTATTTACTAGTATTATATAGGTATACATTATATTTGTGGTTGGAGGAAACTACTGCTGTATAACAGTGTATTTATGCCTCTCAACTGTATAAAAGTGATATTACTAAAAAGTCCCCCTTTTACATTTTTATAGCTGGAAAGCTATTGAAATTCCTGTCAAATTCACTAACTTTCTGCGAACCCTCTTGAAGGTAGTAGTTTTACACGGACAGATTAATAAAATGGAAAAGGAACACTGGTGTTTTCCCTTTATGAAGTAGGTTTAATTGTACTTGTTGCCTCTCTCGTGGACTCTTTGGAATTTTTATTTCTATTTTTTATTTTTTATTTTTTTATGGGCATCCTCTAGTTTTAGTTAGGGTTATTAAATTTACTCCCACCATGTAAACAATTGGTGGGGGAAAAAAATAGCAAATTATTATTAATGCAATAAAACCGGTCACGCTGTTCTTCCGTCAAAGCGTAGCTGGTTAAAAGAATGAACCTCCAAATCTGGGCAAACCGCACTCAATAGCTAGAGTTGGGTTCAAATTCCCGCCACTATGCAAGTTCGTGATTTAACCCTGCACGTATTGAGGAACCGTATATGTGAGACATGATTTACTTTCCAGCCATAAATCTAGAATGGACCAATGATTAGAAGGTTTCTTGTTTCAAAGGAGAGAAGAGAAAAAGCAATCATATTGTGAGTATGAGAATATGAATTTGAATATAAGAATCAGAATTTGAATAAGAATTGCATTACCAATGTGAAAATATGATTTTGAGAACAATTTTTTTCACAAGTAATATATAAATACAAAGTAGTAGGCTACTATTCACTTATTTTTAATAAAACAAATAGCATATTATTCATCAAAATTAAAATGTAATAACCTTAGTACTTTTTGAAATAATTGGGAAATGTGAAAACATTTGTCCATTAAACTTCTACGTAGTAAAATCATTTCTCAAACAATGTTTGAATCTACATTTAATTCTCGAGAATCGGGCTAACTAAACTTTAATGACAAATATTTTGAATCACATTGAAAAGAAGGAAAAAAATTGTGAAAATCATGATTTTAAAGTCCATATTGAGGTGGTGTAACAATGATATTAATTATAGGTAGTTGTGTAGTGTTGTTGGTGTAATAGTGATGATGGTATGAATTGGTGCATGAAGTTTTGGTGGATTAGTAGTATGTTTTACTTAAATTGTATCCAAATAAAGGGTAACATAGTAATGTTTTGGTAGATTCTATATTAGTCATTTTCATCTACTGTCAATGGAAATTTGTTAATTTCATTAGGGTTAAATAAGAAAGATAATAAATAAAAAGAAGCAGAAGAAAATTGTAGGCCACACCCATATGAAGCAAAATTTACACTACCTTTTCAATAACATCCAAGTCCCAGCGAAGATTTGATGGGCAAAGTGTTTCTTACTCATCCATTACTTTGCTTCATGAAGAAGTTTGCTTCATGAAGAAGAAGAAACTGTATTTTCTATACTTGAATAATGCCAAGAAAGCATTCTTAATGACCAAGTTAAATCTTCCCTCAATGACCCTGATCATGTACAAGCTATTTTAAACGTCAATCATTTCATATTAGAGAGTTCGAATTCCTTAGGGGTCATTACCTCAAAATTTTCTAAGAAATTGGTCCGGAGAGATTGCATGTGCCTAGTAATAAGTTATGAAGTATTGTAAGACACTCAACACCACCGTGTGAACGGGAAAAAAAAAAAAAAAAAGTTCATTTATTGATAGTCATCGTTAAAACTCATTATTTGTATAAGGGTTGCAAGCGATAAAAACTCTTATAATATGCAAATAATGTATATAACTCCTTATAGGTTTTTAAAAGTCTCTGATCTTTATTTTTTGTGCGAACAAGGGTCTATTGTTAGTGAAGCAATTAAAACAATAAATTGCCCTTATGTATTTGGGAAAAGAAAAAAAAAAGTGAAAGACAAAATAAATGTAAAATAACTAAAGTACCCTAACCAAAACGAAATAATGTGTCTATTTGTAAAATGGTATAAGGATTTTGTTGGGAGACCAAAATGGCAGTTTAGGAAATTTAGTACTTAATATAAGCATGTGTAACACACATGACTATTTAAATGTGATTTTTTGATATATTATACTAATTAAGTCCTTATTTGTCTAATTTTTTTTTAAAATTTAACGGACTTAGTAGTGTTATTTATCCAAATTTTAAACATTTCACTTTACATATTTGTACTACACAATATTAATAAGTAGTTTGAAAGTTAGACATACGTAAGTATTTGATGTAAGTGTAAGATAACATCATCATGATGTTATTAAATAATATATGTCATCATGACATCATATCTTACCCATATAATTTTAATTGGTAGGACCTATGTAACATTATTCTTAAAAAAACGTCGATCTTTTTAATTTTGACCCAATGTGCATTTCTCAAGTGCCAAACGGACCATAAAATACAAGGACATTTTTATGTGGTATTCCAACTGTGTATACCAGGGCACGCAGCTGTCCTAAACATATGCTCCTCTCCTCATTATGTGGGCCTCTGTCTGGTCTTATTGTTACATTATGTTTTTATTACGGAAAACTACAATTTAGTCACTGACTTTAAAGGTAATTGTTGTATAGTGAACGTGCTTTTTTACACTATATTTGTGTCATTTTCTTTTGGGTTAAATATATAAAACACCTCTAAAATTTATTTTTTGGGCAAATAACACCCTCTCATTATTAAAAATTCTAATATTCATCTTTATACTAAAAAACATAGGACTTTTGTCACATAAGTGGTGTTTGTGATTGCAAATTTTTTTTCGATAATCATAATGTCGCCCCCGCTGAAGTAAATTCCTCACTTCCCAGTGACAGTGAACATGATTTTATATAGTGATTTATTAATTTTATGTATGAATTATTTCTACATGTGTTTACGGTATTAAATTTGCCCTTAGTTTCAAAGTAAATTTAAATACTTGAATTTCTAATTATTCATTTCCCTCCGTATGACAAATTGGCATTAATATCATCCTTTCTTTCACACACACACACACATATACATATAATTATTTGTCATAAAGAGTAGTGGTACACATCTTTCTTAATCTTATTATGCCATCATATTATACCAAATTATAACAATTGATTTGCTCTTCAACTAATTTTAGCTCCTATCATCAATGCATTTGGTTCTGAAATCATATCATTTATTGCCTTTTCAGTCAATTCTTATAAATTACTCTTTATTTAAGGACTATCTTATTTATATTTATATTCACCTAAGAAGTGGGCCGAAAAGGTTCAGCCTTAGATGCATTAATCAAGTGGAGAATTTAATGTCTTTTTTTTTTTATACAATTTATTCTAATTTTTTAAGCAATGAATTAGATGCATTATGACTTGTTTAACTATGTTGTGCAATGAATTATTATTATTATTATTATTGAAAGAAAGTTAAAAAAATCTATATTTGATTATAAACCGATCATTCCATTATGTAATATTATACTCGCTCTGTTTCATAATAAGTGTTCATTGGTTTCATAATAAATGTCTATTTTTTTATGTTTAGCTGTAACAAAATAATTGTCATTACTTAAAAGTCAATGTACTATATTTTACAATATTTTCAATAAATTAATAAAAATAAAACGTTATCACATCATGTGGACCCATCATATATATATTTGATATTTCATTTATTATCAGTACAATAAAATAAATTAAAAACTACCTCTTAAAAAATTGGGTTCTCCACAACCAAAAAAAAAAAAAAAAAAAAGGGGAAGAAGAAGAAGAAGGTAGGGAATACTTAATAATATATTTGTAACCTTATAAAATTACTACTAGTACCATTTTACCAAGGTAAAATGGTTGTTACATATATTTTGTGTTCCAAGGGAAACTAAAAGATTGTAATATATATATATATTTTCTCCTACATATAATTTAAAAGTCAAAAGTTTAAATTTTTCCTTAAGAGCTTATAAATAATAACTTACAAATTTAATTATTACCAGTATATTCATTCTATAATGATGAAGCATTAGAATGCACACGTGTAATATGAGGGATGGCATGTACGATGAATAATATATTAATATATATGCATGAAATATATAAAAGAAAGAAAAGTGATGAATGCAATCCACTTTTAATCTGATATGACATTATTGTCCTGGTTCAATTCATGATAATCAATATAAGAAACATTTACTCAAATTATCGGAGTAGATAATTTAGTTTAATAGAAAAAAAGAAAAAAGAAAGAAAGAAAAAGTGCATTTATCATTCTTCCATATTGATATACTGCAGGGACCTAACATTTTAAGATGTGATTTGAATATTTTTTATTATATTGATAGCGAATAAATTATCAAATTTATTATATTTAAATTTAATAAATTTATATTAAATTATTTGATGATGTTTTATATTTAATTATTTGATGATATACTCCAGGGACCTAACATTTTAAGTTGATGTTTTATATTTAATTATTTTTATAAATTCAAGGATAAATTGAAAATATTATAAAATATAGTACATTAACTTTTAAATTAATACATTTATTATGGACAGCTAAATATAAAAATGTGAACGTTCTGTTTGAAACCAAAGATATCATTAATATGTGTACAATCATAATCCATATGTAAGCAAACTTTACTAATATATTTAAGTTTCTATTTTTTTTATTTTAATTGTTTCAAAATAATTGTCGCAGTTGAAATGTCAATGTATTACTCTTGCCGTTTTAAAATAAATGTCTATGTTTCCGTAGTTAGTTGTCTTAAAATAATTGT